CAATATACCCTGTATTTCGGATTATTAGGCTCCAGGACACTTGGACAAACTTTCTGGCTCCTCTTCTTTACCAAGAGATTTCTGGGGAGGGCAGATAGGAAGGAAAGACACCCAGGAAAGACACTGCAGAGTTGCAGTGATCTTAAGCGGCAGGAGAGCTGGTGTCTTCTTGGTGAGCTCCTCAGGAGCACTTCTTGGGGCCTCTGAAGCGTTCCCTGGGATTCCTCCAGCGCATGGACAGAGCATGCTGGAGGCTCACCAAAATTAGGAACCAGCTTATTAAGGCGATACTTTAAAATGTCTGTTCATGCCTGATGAAGAACATCTCCAAGTCTTGCTTGTGCTAGCAACCAGCCCCGTCTGCTCTCCGCGCAGCGACAGCGGTGTCTGCATTGAGCATCCACACAGTGAAATGCACTTTTCTCTTGCAGACTGGCTCGTAGACCTGAGGCTCTGCATCCACCTCGCCCTGCTGGTGCCTTGTTCCTCCTTATGGTGTAGCTGGTGACGTCCTTGAGAAGAGAGAAGATGATGAGTGATGCAAGTGACATGTTGGCCGCCGCGCTGGAGCAGATGGACGGCATTATAGCAGGTAAATGCTCAGGGCTTCCAGCCTCCTTCCTCATGCCTGGAGGGCAGCCCAAGGAGGGAATGTGCCTGTGATGTGTGTGGTGTATCCACACTATCAGAAGAGTTAAAACATGAACTAAATTTTCTCCTTTCTTTTTTTTTTTTTTTCTTTTTCAAAGTTGGAATATTATGGGTCCAAATATTTGGGTTGAACCTGCCTTTTGTATTTTTATTATTTTTATAAGTGTTTTTTTATAAGAACCTGTAGATTTTAGGTGGGCTAAGGACAGGGATTGTGAAGTGTGCAACTTCTGCTTCCTGAGCTGGATCAGGTGAGCTGGAAAATAACCCAAATACACCACACAGAGAAGCAAAGCAGCAAAAAGTTAGTAATTTAATCTTATTCCAGCAGAGCTATGCTAACAGCTATGCAAGCTGAAAAAAAAAGAACATCATGCAAGGATAGCAACATAGTTATGATAAGTCTTTAATGGGCCCACTTAAAATAATTTCCTTAGAGGAGAAAAACAGGGGAAAAAAAAGTGTGCTTAGCTTGAACAACAACTTTTCTCTGCAGTTTTCCTAAAGATATGAAGGACACATTGCAGGCACAGATGCAAAGTGGCTTCAGTTGGATCACAGTGATCTCTAAAAATACATATAAGCTGAGACTTTAGAAATTTCCAGAAGTAGATATTAGTGTTTGGATCAGATCGTGTATCTGTGTTTTAAAGGGTCCAAGCTGGTTATGGCAATATGAGGTTTAATATAGAAATAAAATGTGATGTTGGGATATTTAAGTCACCCATGTGTCTTTACAGACCTATAAAGTAATATAACAAGAAGGAATATGAAATCCTTTGCTTCTGTAGGAGTTTTTATCTTTTTTTTTTCCAAAGGAAACTAGCTTGCTTTTTTCCTTTTTTTTTGCTTTGTGTCTTGCCAGATGAGATGAAGGAAGCTTATGGCAGTGCATTTTTGGCATATCTCCATACTTTCCAAAAGTTGACAGTGCAAAAGCTAATGTTCTGTCATTAATATGTCTCATTGTAATGCCAAAGCATTACAGTATTAAGGCCATAAATCAACATGCTGAAGTTCTAGCTGGGATTAGCTAGGTTACTTTAAATCAACCTTAATCCTGAATTTGCAGTTTCCTTCCTTACTTTACATATCTCAAGTTTTAATGTAGGTCAAACATACATACTGGGAGTTTATGCAAATAAGATTTATTTTTCCATATTAGCATACAAACGTCAGCACTTCCATATCAACCATATTGACCTTTTTTTTTTTTCCTTTTTTAATTTTGTGCTTGTAGAAGTGATTCAGCCTATTTATCTTCTTATGCTTCTTTGTTCTTGCACAAATTTTCCAAGGCCTTAGAGCAGTGTCACATATTTCTGTGGAAAAAAAAAATGTGCGGGGAAGGGGCAACATCCAAGACCAGTTGAGTTGTCGGAAGAGATGGGTTGGATATAGGAAGATTTGTTGCAGATTTTCCCGGGTATTTATCCCTTTGCTCTGTGTGTGCCCTTGCTTGGCTCAGGATCCAAGGCACTGGAGTACTCCAACGGGATATTCGACTGCCAGTCCCCCACATCGCCCTTCATGGGGGGCCTGCGAGCGCTGCACCTGGTCGAGGACCTGCGGGGCCTGCTGGAGATGATGGAGGCGGATGAAAGAGAAGGGCTGCGATGCCAGGTGCCGGACTCCACGGCAGAGGCTCTCGTCGAGTGGCTCCAGTGTCAAATGGTATGGTGGCAACCTCGTTTCACCCTCAAAATCCCAGGCTCTGGCTTTATTCACCTCTTAACCCAGCTGGCTCAGGCAAGGTGAAGGCTGTTTTATGCAGGCAATTTGAAATTTTAGAGTACGTGTCCAAGAACCAACAGGAAGAGATTTTGATATGGAGATGCGGCTGTGGAGCCCTAAGAAAGCCGTAGTTCAGGTGCCTCATGCAAGACATTGGCCTCTGTTTGCTTTGAGGTATCACTGTACTTCATTTGGGTGAGGAAAAAAATGTTTGGTAACAGGAGTTTCATCTCTGAGGTGGGAGAAGGGTATTTTTATAGGAATCAGACTCTTGAATAGCAAAAATTGCTTTAATCGAACTTTTCTTAGAAAAGGAGTTTTGACAGAGTGTTTTCCACAAGTACTAGCATTGTAATGGGCCTTCCTACCTTACTTAAAATAGAAGCGAGTTGTATAAACTCGGTCTTCCTTTAACCTGGAAACCAAGTCAAATTTCAGTGCTTATGAGCCTCTCAGGTTTTCGTCATCTTTACTTTAAAAATGCACCAAAATATGGCTGAAAAGGCTGTTCTTTCCCTGAGCCTTGGTTTTCCCTCCAAATTAAATATTATTCAAGGGTGGAGTTTCTCTGGAGAGAACAGTGAGAAGGAAAAATCTGTGCTTAGTAGAAGGTGAGTTACAGCTTCAATTTTGAAGGACCCACTGGTTTTACCTCCTGGTGCCCTATGGCTGGCAACTTCCCAGCAGGTCCAGAGAGGAGCCCTTGTGCTTGTGGCCAAGTTTGCGTTCCTGTGCGTGTGCCCGAATTTCAGGGAAGCTCTAGCAATGGACATTAAGATTCGTTTTGGGATATCATGCCTCAGGGTTTAGGTCAATCTGTGGAAGCAGAGTGACAGTTGTGGGTGTGAGGGTCTTCAGATTTTGCTATTGACAGCAGCGTCCTCGTGGCTCCCCTGACACACTTGGCATTGGCCAAGGTAATGTTGTGTGCTGCTGAAGTGGGAATACCGGGTAGAACAAACTGTGGGTCTGATCCAGGAAAAGGCCGGCTGTGGTTGCTCTGCGTGATACCAACTGCGCTGTCACTGCAGGCTGCTCTCAGGAAGAGAGGTCCTGATTGTCTTCTGCTGCATCCAACCTCAGGAGACGTTCAGCGATCCTGTGTCTCTAGCTGATCTGTCAGAAAACAATATTTATTTCTGGTTTTATAGGTTGATTCTGCACCACATCAGCAGGTTGACCTGGGTTGGCTTGGTGGCTCCCGCTCCACCAGACCCATGGCAAGAGCGCCAGTGGGATGGCACGCGCGGAGGCAGGGCTGGTGGCGGGGAGCAGCATGTCCTCTGCTGCTGCTGGCCGTCCTCACTTGCAGCATGTGACACCCCAGCACAGCGTACTTCGGTCACAGGCACCTTACAGAGTCAATGGGAGCAGAGTTAGAAGCAGTATTTGGAAAACCAGCACCCTAAGAGTGTCGCCCTTCATGTCATGTCACCCTTCGTGTCAAACTGCAGTAGCTTCTGTTTGACCTGACGTGCCATCTAGTGGCACGTGGGCTGTGCGCAGCCTCCCTGAGAAGGGGCAGGGACCTGAATTCAGGGGCGGTGTGCTCTCCTGCAGAAGGATTTTGAGGGGAGAACGTCCCTTTATTACACTCATCTGAAAATGCCCCTAATTTAATGAAACTAATGGGCACTTTTCTGTCGACTCCAGTGGGATTTGGAGCTTGCCCGCTTGGTCAAAGCGTGGCAGGAAACATTAGAATCAGGAGGAGGTGGCGGGAAGGATGCCGCAGTCAGGTCTTTAAAACCTCGAGTTCCTGCTGCCATCAGCATTTCCTTGCTCTGTAACGTACAGCGCTGAACATCGCTGTAAGTAGACCCTGGGCTGCGTGGAAGTCAGGGGACATAACCGATTTTGTGCAAATACGGGCTTTAAAAATAAATATATGTTCATATGTCAGAGAGCCTGGGAAGATAAAATAATCCCCATGAGTGGCACAGACCTCACTCGTGCTCACATAACGAGGCTGATCTTCGGCACGTGTTCTGGAGCGATGGGGCCACGGCAGTGTGGCTTGGTTGCTGTGGCTGTGGTGTCTGACCAGTTACTGCCCCTGGTAGCGATGACGGTGTGATTTGAGGATATCTGCCTGTGAGGAACTGGAGCAAAATCCTTCAGAGTCGTTTGACATAGATGGCCAAATGACAATGAGATTATAATATTTTTCTTTACGGCTAGGGGCTGGATTTGGAAGATGTGCTCTCTGTGTCTTTGATCTTGGTGAGTCGTGATCACTGGAAAGAATGCATGAGCTTTAAGTACAAAAGATTACATATCTATTCCATCTATACTTCTCATCCCTCAAATTATTCCCCTAATTATGTCTGTGGTGTTTTTAAAACCCCTAGTGAGAGAGACTAACTGCTACAGTTCATAGTGTGCTGCAGGCAAGGATCATGAGATTTAAAGGAATTACCAATATTGCAGGTCTCAGAGCACAGAAGGTATTTGGTGAAGTGCACAGGTGATTCCAAGAAAGGCTTTCTGGTGATATTACCTAGCCTAAAATCAGGGTAATCCCCCACTTGTGAACGAGTTACATCCCAACAGGCTCTTCAAAACCACTAGAACGGGTGCGTGACATCCCAGCCCGAAGCTCTAGCCAAGACTCTTGACATCTCAGAGGACAACAAAAATAGTGTTCACAGCTGCCAAATAATGCGTCACACACACAAAAAAATCCATCCTGAAGGGAAACTGCTGATGCCTTTAGTTGGGGAAGGGTTTTTGACAGCTGTCTCCTAGACTTGCTTACTTCTGTAAAACGGGGCAGAGTATTCAATTTGCTGTGTTGGAATTGACTGTCTTGTGTCACATGTTGGCTTCCTTCCTCCTCTACTCACTTAATGCAGCAGGTGGTTCAAACAGGCTATGTAAGCACTCGCAAGGGGCTGAAGAATTAAAAGTGTCTCCTGCTGGTGTTGCAGTTGGTGGGTACGAGGTGGCCTCGTACACCAGTGCCCAAAGAGCTGGGAGAGCCCTTCTGAGTAGAGCGACCGGGTGGACCACCCAGGGGCACACAGAGGAGCTGTAAATGAAGCTTTCTGCTGTACAAATAAGTCAATTTAACTGAAACATGCAATTTTTGTCTGTTTTTTGTTATTTTTCCTAATTTTTATCTCTGTGTAGCTGAAACTCTGCACGTGTCTCCATATGCAAGCTGATGACAGATGAACACTGTGATTAAAATTAGAAACAAAGCTGTGTCTCCCAAGTCTGGGAGAGGGCTCAGGCCTTTCCTAAGTTGAAAAGTGTTGGGATTGTTGGCTTCATTGGGGAAACAGAAATGTGGATTGGTCCTGAAATCCATAGCCAGGTTATAAGGATTCCGAGGAATTAGCATTTCTCAGGTTTTCTTCTGATCAGCAGAAATGTTTACTGCCTTCTCATGTGCTGTACTATAAAAATGTTGCTTCTGGATTGAATATAGATGATGTACAAGTAACCTGTAATGTTACCACCACTGAAAAGACCATTTTAAACAATTTCTGCCTTTTGCAAGACCAGTACAGGCCTGTTTGTTTTCAGCTGCAATTTGATAGATTCATCAGCACAAAGATAATTTGTAAAAGAATTGCTGCTAGCCATGAATATTGCTTCATTTTTTTTCTCTAGTTGAGAAATACAAGAGACAGATTTCTTTTTGGTTATTACTTTTCTTGGTAGTGCTATTTTTTTAATATGTCTTATGCAAGAGCCTTTCCAGAAGGATGAAGCCAACTGTGTCGTGTTAAAGAGGAGGGTGGAGGGGACGGTGAGTCCCTTCCCAGCCCTCCCAGACAGCCTCCCCAAACTCCTGATGTGAAGTTTCAGGTGTGGGTTCTTGTTGACTTATTGTGATGGCTTCCTGGAGAGAAGAGCCAGATAATATTTTTCATTTAAAAGAAATGAAATGGCAGTTTTTGCGTAAGAAGTGACTGTCTTAGCATGATTTCTTGAATGCAACAAGCTTTAACCATGTCCAGAGGTTCCTTGGAGTATGCTTTCAGCTCATTTAAAGTTGCTAGTTGATTTGTGACACCTGCGACAGCTGGTCAAATCCAGAGTATAGCTATGGTGAATAGTGGATCTGTCCTCCCACAGATGGGCTTCAGATTTTGACATTTCTTCATGAGTTAATTCTTCCAGAGAGTGTCTGAGATGAACGAGGGTTAATAAGAGGAGATACTTTGGAGAGAAGTTTTCCTGGCTGAGTGAACACGACTTGTAATCTTAGAGATATATTAGCCTGTTTTGAGGACAGAGCAATTCCCATGTGGTGAAAGTGGTTTGGTTAGCCACAACTCATTTCATATTTTTTATTCATGGAAAAATCTTGTCTTCAGACCAACGCTTCTTGTTTGATTGTCATGGCGTGGGTGTACAGTTCTTCTCTTTGGCTCCACTTGCACTTGGGCTGAGCTTAGCTAGTGAAACGTCTTTATGGAAATGTGTGGCAACATAGGTGTTTACCACCGAACACCTGTTCCATATCCCTCCTGCAGTCGTAACTTGGAAGGAGCCCTTGCGATGCTGTTTAAGTCTGTCATCAACAGCTGTCTCCTACCTATCCTGTGTGTTCATGAGAGATCTGACCCTGAATGTTCTTGAAACATCCTGTTTCTTGCTCAAGATGGTTGTCCAGGCTGGGATGTTTTTAATATTGGAAGATAATTGGGATTCATTTATAATGCTTCTTGGCTTGGCATCTTCATGTGTCTTGGATGAGTTCATTGGCAGTAAGAAAAAATCTGTGAACTGCAGTTCTGGAGCGCACAGCATCTGTTCTTGTTATGGAGCAGCCCCATCAGCGGCGTGGCAGAGCATTCCCAAATCACGCTCTGCAGTCCAAAATACATGAATTTGGCTTGAAAAACACTGCTTCCGTTCCTCTTTCACATCTTCTCGTTGTTGTTGTGGGTTGCTTAATGCTCTTATTTTCAAGATTTTTACTCATT